AGCACTGCCACCACCTTCAGGGTTATGTTAACACTTAGACCTTCCTGTCTTTTTTTCTCAAGATTATCGAAGACAATAACTTCCTTTCAAAATATACTAAGAAAATCATAAATCTAGTTACATACGAGATATAAAGTAAATTTTGTTGTTGTGTAGATCCGGTTAATATAAGCCTAACAAAATTCCGATTGCTATTTTTGAAATTTGTTGTCATTTATTATGCATTTGAGAACTTACGGTTAGAGACATGCATTGGGAACCCCGGACTATGGGGCTGAGGCTGGATAAGCTAGCTGGATAAGGCTATGTTTAGTTCGCGAAATGAAAATTTTTAGATGTCACATTGGATGTTTTTGAGATATCGGAAGGGGTTTTCGGATACTAATAAAAAAAACTAATTACATAGCTCGCCTGGAAACTGCGAGACAAATTTATTAAGCCTAATTAATCCATCATTAGCGCATGTTAGTTACTGTAGCACTTATGACTAATCATGGACTAATTAGTCTTAAAACATTCGTCTCGTGATTTCCAACAAAACTGTGCAATTAGTTTTTTTTCCGTCTATTTTTAATACTTTCATGCATGTGCCGCAAGATTCGATATGATAGCTTGGGGTAAAAAATTTTGGAAACTAAACCAGGCCTAAGTTAAGGGAGCTAGAGATGCCTTGAGACACACTACAACCTTGTTCTTTGTCTGAAGCAGCGACGCACCCATCACATCGCTAATTCACCGTTTGTCTGAAGCATGAGTCGGGCTATTCGACTGGTATTAAAGTTGGCTGAAACTGTTTTATCGTAAGAGAAAAACACTGTAGATTCTAGCTGATAAGTTCAAACGAACAGGCCCTCGGGAATATTATCGCATCTCCAAGCATGCTACCCTTGCTAGGTTCGAAACACTTAAAATATGGGTAACAGTAGTGCGCCACAGGGCTTGCTGTTTCTACTACAGTTTCTTCTTCTTCTCATGTTGCATTACAGGGGACCTAGGGATCCAGGACTGAGGTGTGTGACGCACTACCTTTTTTTTTCTTTTACATGATCGAGATTGGCAATTTTTGTTGTTTATATGATGTCATTAACGGTAAAAAATGTTGCTAATACCGATGGTTCGTACTGGGTCTGGATCGAGTGCGTGGTTCCATTAAGAATCTGTTCTTGAGATGTGAAATGCCGTTAGCTCCTAGTACTAGTACTAGCAGTATTTGTACCTCATTGTAAAAGGGAGCTTTTGCTCACAGTAAGATCACACTCGGACTTGCCTGAACTACTGGCCTCCAGTTCTACTACTACACCTTCACCTTTTACATATAACCCAAAAGGAGCAAAAGATGATTCCTTGTTCTTTTCCGTTATTATGGACCAGAAGAAAGCACTACCTTGCAATAGATGGCAAGTGGGATTCTTAAGCTAAAAAAAAATTGATGTCCAATGCTAAAACTGCAGCTTCAAGGCATGCCTGCATCTTCTATCTTGGATACCAAATGCAGCCGTGCTATTTGCGACATGAGAAGCCTGGGAAGCTGCAGGCAGAGCTGTTTGCATGGTGCTCAATTTGAGTTGTGTTCCGCATTCCTTCCATGCATCATCATGACTCGCGAGATCCTCTTGACCTCGTTGTCTCTCTCCGTCTCTCCGTCTCTCGGCCCATTCGCTCAGCCCTGATGCCATGACATGATGAGCATCAGCAGGGAGTTGTGCCTACTCTATCTGTGACCTTTTGATCTTTTAAACAATCTGCCAGGGATATGATATTATGATGTCACAATGGAAGCCGTACGTCAAGAACAACCGAACATGCAGACATACAATACTTCAGAATATGGCTGCTATCTCTTGCATGCCCGTGCCTGAATTTCATCCCAATTCCCAGCGGAATGTTCCAGGAGCGCGCTCAGTTTACCTGCCATGAATAACTGAACCATTGAGGACCGCGTGGTGTACTCGGCACCATGCATCAGTGACCATGATCAAATCAAATTCTTGCCTATCAATATAGTAAACCTTATCCTAAATCTTGACGTGGTAACAGCTTCATGGAAGGTGATCTGCTGACGTGCAGTGCAATGCATGCAGCCGGCCAACGACTCTCGGCTAGTCAATTGCTTGATCCGGCCGTGTCCGGGGTGTAACAAAACACCTGGTGTGGAGAAACAACGAACACGTGATGTTACTTTCCTGAAGATTAAACAAAAATTACTGTCGTAATCGGCATTCTGAATCGAAGGTTTACTACACAACAATATTACCTCTACTGATCTATCGCTTGCAAGGGCAAATACATCAAATCCAGGCGACGTGACGCGTTCGCATGTGACCTAACTCTCCGTGACATCATCACCGTTGCTCAGCCCCGGCCAGATGCTGCCACGGACCCTGGAGCTTTCAAGCGTTTGGACCCATACGGAAGATGAAGGAAACGCGGTTGACTAAATGACTGCGGCTTGATCGTTCTGGTCATAAGTATCCAGTCCATGCAAGTAATATATATGACTATGTATGTATCCGTGTGTGTGTGTGTGTGATAGAGAGCTTTATCTGTGAAAGTACAAGTAATAAGCGAGTCAAACATGTCTGCAAAGACGGCAAATTGTCGTTCACCAACAAGAACGTGCACATCCAAATCCGGGACGGTGGAAAGAGGAAAAGCAGGTGTCCGTGCGCTTTTTTCAGTTTTTGGACAGGTGGAAAAAGGCAGAGATGCCGGTGGTAAGTTCGTAGGCGATCGACGTTTTACGTAGGCTTGTTGGGATCAGGAAAAAAGGGGTCAGCGCTTCACTTTGCCTTTTTGTTTGTCGATGTCTTTGTTTCTGTGCCGTGGATGCCAAGTTTAAGTGAAGCTTGTGTGAGAATACTGTTGGTGATGCGTCGAATCCGCATAGCAATTTCTAGGTTGAAAACACGGTAACCAGTGACATATGAGGTGAAGTAATAAGTGTTGTTTTATTTTGGAACTGTAGAATTTGTGTGCGTGTCCATTTGGAATGTCATAGCCTGTCATAACTTACCGTAATTTGAACAAAATTGTTTAGCGTAAAAAGCTACTTGTATCATTTATTAACTAGTCGTAGTTCTATCTGACGCAAAGATCAGAGTGGCGCAGCGGAAGCGTGGTGGGCCCATAACCCACAGGTCCCAGGATCGAAACCTGGCTCTGATAAGGTTTTTGATGTTTTTTCAATATGTTTCTGTCTCTTGTTCCCCCTTTCAAATTCAATTATTTTTTGGCCCTGATAAATTTTTTATGTTTTTTCAATTTGATTTTGTCTCTTGTTCCCCCTTTCAAATTCAATTCAGTTTGTCTCTTGTTCGACAGCTAAAAGAAAATGCTGTCCCAGTCATGAGTCATGACTGTTGGCTGCTGCATCGGTCCAGGCAGCATGTCATTGCAATTAGTCTCAACCCAAGAAAGGCAAGAGAATGCTTATATTGATCACCGGTAATCAAATCATGTGTGTCTGACTATACATACGAGCTGCCACACCCAGGAGTACATCATTCCGAGGCCACAATAGAATGACACCATTATGAGAGGTAGGAAGGGGAGCCTATCACCGAACACATGATGGTGAAATAATTGAGACCATAATTCTATACCCACGATTCCCAAAAGACAGCTTAAACCAATCCATCCAATGATGCCATTCTTCTTCACTGTGCTGCCTGACCGATTTACTTTCTTTCCTTCCAGGTCAGAGTTTGCAGCAAAATGGGATGTACAACCTACCCACATGAGAGTGGCGTAGGTCAGCAGCAGCATCACCTTTATCATGTACTCTTGGTTCTCAAACAGCAAAGGGAATAGAGAGTAGCATGAAACTGCAGATACATTTTTTTAAGCAAATGATTAATTGCCAGTTAGCCAGGTTTATCACATTTCTGACATGACAATCATAATACTACTTAATGGGAATAATGCAGATACTGAGGTGGGCAAAATTGCAAAAGAATCTTTTTTTTCATGGACAGAAAAGGCACCCAAAAACGTTGATTCAAGAAATGTCACAAGTGGAACAAAGTAAACATTGAACTGTAACCAAGAGCAAAACATACCTATGGACAACAAAAAGTAATGCCTGGCATCGTTCAAGCTATCCATGGCAATTAGGGCAAGTGGGATAGTGAAATGAAGTGATGCCTTCTCATGTACATGCTATCCAAACATAAACCCACATGTGCATGCATACGAGACCAATCTAATAATATGCTTTGGTTGAGGATTAGAGAATGCTTTGATAAGACAAGGAGCCATGGCAAGAATGACCAATAAGAATGTAGCAATTGGGGTGACCTGCAATCCATTAAGTTCACAGATGTGAAACCATAAACCCATCATGTTTCATTGGAATAAACAAAAAGAACAGGAAGAATGGATGGTGGAAGAAAGAACCTTCGGAAGAACAGCAAAAGGAGACGAATCACCAACGAGTCCCCCAGTAAACGAAGCTTCAGGTATGGCAATATTAAAGCCTAGTCTTCTAAGGAGAAATGCAAGAATCTTGTCAAGTATAATATAGAATACCCAAAAGTTTGGGGCCCAGTAAGCATGGCATAGGCCTCGCCCAAAGGGAAACAATCGGTTAATTAGTTGTTGCATCTGCAAAATCATTAGAGCCGTAAGAATTGCAGTCATGTTAAAATAATACCACATTTATACATGTCAATATATTGAGAGGATTTTTTCACAATAGCAAAGGCATATATTACAGACAATGTTGTATTACCGAAACAAAGAATAAAACGTGCTAGACAGATGGGTATATATTGCTAAAGGCTGGCGCTAAACTTCCTACAAAGTTCAGTTTATCCAATCCCTTGCGTCGAAGAGTGTAGAGCTTCTTCTTTTTGTACAGACTTTATTGTTTCTTATTGTTAATATATAATCAATAGAGGCTAGACCCTCCTATTCTTTCAAATAAACAAAACACACAAAAAATGCAGAGCACTGAAAATTCATATATCTACATGACTCCCATATTTCATTGGCACAGGGCATTAGCAGTACATTGGTAAAACTTGTATGAAAACACCATTTAGCTCAGAGGCTGCAGACAGACAAGGTTAACATGGTCTTACTATGAAAAACGCCATGGATTTGATGCAAGCTTAAACACATAAGAAATTTGACAAAACTGCACTACTAGCTTATAAGCCTTCTCTACAGGATTCAGCATCAAATTAATTGAATTAACTGCAGAAAGATTGCAAATATTACATACAATACGACAATACAATTCTCTACTGATTTTTTTTTTGAACGTTTGTATTGTGGAGACCAGTTTTAATAAAATTTCAGTAGGGGCTCACACCCCTCCTATTCCATAAAAAAAAAATTATATACAATGTTTGTATTACAGGGAATAAAATCGCGAAGCCAAACTGCAAATAAAACTGATACGTAGATATAGATTGGCTAAAGTGGAACACCAAAATTCCGATGAGGTTGAAGTTTACCAATACCCACTAGTGTTTAAGAGTGCAGAGTTATAAACATTCAAATATCTGAGTGCAGGAATTCAAAAGCTCATTTGACAAAAAGATTAATAGTGCAAAATGCAGAACTGGCATGATTGGTTAGCTGTATGGAAACATTATTTTAACTCAGAGCTTACAGACATGACAAGATTAGCAGAAAAAAATTTACTAAGTTAAACTCCACAGCAATTATCACAACTAAAACCAATATTACTATTCATTGGCGGAGCTACACAAGCTGAAACAGCTCCAGCTACTATGATAAGAAATTCAGAAACACGGTGCATTACTCAAGTTTAAACCTCCTCTACCAGATTTAATGTCAAACTAACTGAATTAGCTGCATTACTCACCAAGTCTCAACTGTTCACAAATCACAAGCCACATTTCCTACTTTCATCAGAAACTAGATGTTTACAGACAAGTACCATACGGAGATAGCCAAGATACCAACAAGTTGTTGAATCCAAAACTTCAATTAACCAGATTCACTCACCTGGCCATAGTACACGAAGGGCGCAAATGCTGCAGCAAAAACAACAGCCACTCCAGAGCCCATCAGTACGAGCCTTCCCAAGCCCCTTCACGACACCCCGGCCACAGCAATAATGCCGGAACAAATACATAAAGTAGACCGGCGCCGCCACGAGGAACAGGTGCTTCGAGCAGAGCAAACTTGCGAACACGACTCCCCCGGCAAGATCCCACTCCTGCTCGAGGAAATGCAACGAGAGCAGCAGCAGCCCCATGAGGAATCCATTGTACTGAAAGTGGAGGAACGGCCGCTGATTCCGCCGCGCGTCCCTCGCCAGTAAGAGGACGGACCCGAGGAGGAGGAGGTCGGAGAAAGCGACAGTGAGGCGGAGGTAGAGGAGATGCGCGAAGGGCGGCGCGTCGGGCACGGGGACAGAGACGAGGGTGGCGTCGACGAGCGGCGCAGGGAGGGAGAGGAGGCGGGAGAAGTAGGCGAAGAAGGGCGGGTAGTCGAGCGTCCACTGGGAGGAGGCGTCGGTGTACCACTGCCGCGCGGGGAGCGCGTGCGTGAGGGCGAGCCAGTAGCGGTGAACGTCGAAGTCGGTGGAGCGGTAGGTGGGTACAAGGAGGAGCTTCACGCAGGTGGCGGCAGCAAAGGCCCAGGCCACCGCCGCTGCCGTCGACGTCGACGGCGAGGTGGTGTAGGCCATCAGGGCGGCGCGGCTGGGTGGTTTCGGGCTGAGATCTGGAGAGGACGGGTTGGGTCGTGACTCGTGACGTCGCGTTGTACGTGGGTCTTCGTGTTTGTTCACTTTGTTGGTTGGGCCGCTGCAGAGTGGGCCGAGTTTTCGTGCCATGACTGCCGTCGGCAGATTCCATTTTGGGTCGGCGGCGCGGGAGTTCGTGTGCACGGAGACGGAGACGGTGAGCCGGCGACGAGTGTGGGGTAGTTGCCAGCCGCGCGTTGCCCCGCCTCGGTGCTCTGCACTGACTGGCATCCGAGATCTGGCGGGCGTAGATTTGCATGGACGTGGCAAAGCGGAGCACGCCTGAGGAGGAAGGTGTCAGACTGTCAGGTGTGGTGCATGGTACGCGTTGGGCATTCGCCCGTTCCCAGGGACGGGGAGTTGGGCCTTCAACACAGAGCCCAGGAAAATGGGCCTGTAGCCTTTGTTTGGGCCCACTGCCACACCTTTCTTACAGGGCGATTCTCCTGCGCAAACCGATGGTTATCTTCCAGAACGGAGAGCAGTAAACAGTTGGCAACGGGGAGGGACAGGGCCGGGTGGAGCATCCGCAGACCTGCCCCTGAAACCCGACAGAAAACCCACCCCGACCTCGAATAGTGATTCGGGTGGAAGTTTGAACCCACCCCCGAACCCGATGGGGACCCGAAACCCGAGTTCAATTAGCGAGTGGAGGATTTGTTATGCCACCGCCAGAGGTGAGATATGTCCACGCCGAGGAATAGCTAGGCGCCGGCCGCCGAGGGACGCGCCATCATCCAGCCGCCACCTTTGCTTGCGGCCACGCTAGCGTAGCTGCAGGTCGAGGTCGGGCTCTCGGGCAGCCGCGCCGGTAGATCTATTCGCCACTAGCGGTGGGAGAAGGAGCCGGCCGCTGATGCGCGCTAGCGCATCGGGAGTAGAGGAAGGGAGGCGGCGCTGGAGTGGGACCACGAGAGCACGCGCGCGACCACTCGCGCGATGTGGGAGGCGTCGGTTGTCGGTGGAGGCGTGATGCGGGAGGTGTCATGTAAGTGCATCTAGCCCTTTAGTGGGTTTTGGTGAATTGAATGAAAAACCATTAAAGGTCTAACAAGTTTGCTAAGTGTTAAACAGAAAATTGAGTTTATTGCATACACTCATGGATTGTAGAATGAGAAGTATATATAGGTTCAACAAGAAGGCAAACTTGATGATATTCCACGTAATGTTCAAATCAAGGTCAAATTTGTGTATTGTTGTGTTGGAAGATCATGGAAACAATATAGTTCAAGAGAAAGACAACAATGCAAATGGAGTTGATGAAATGACTTCAATGTTGAGGGATATCATAGTATCATAAAGAAACAAGCATATTTGGCAAATGGTAAATGAGACATGAGTTGATGATTTTGGATTGGTTTTAATAATAGCTTGCTTTACATGAACTAGAAGAGTTTAATAGTGGATTAGCTTTGATCAAGTATTGAAGAATGAATCCAGGGTGCATAAGTGAGGACATACCAAGCAAAGGTTTAATGACAAAGGACACAACTCATATTGGATATAAGTCGGTCTCTATATTGGTTTGCTTGTATGGATAAAGATTTGAAAAATCACTTTGCATTAATATGATCAAGCTAGAAGTATGAAAATAGAGACTGAAGTGAGTGTTAGGAATGTCAAGTCAAAATGGAAAGGATATAAGGAATCATGAATTGGCATGACCACATTGATGTTGATCCATATATGTCTCTATGTGAGTCTAACTGAAGCTTGATTGATCTGAACTTTCATATCTAGAAGAATATTCAAGTAAGGATCACAATATTGAAGAAATGACTTTTCAATGGATGTTTAGTTTGATGTGACTTGAGTGTGGCTTGATAAGGTGAAGATAGCAGGGAAAGGGCTTCGAGGGACTAAGCGGAGGTGAAGGGCAAGCGATGACTTAAGGACTGAGGTACCATGACTAAGGTGAAGAAGAGAGTACTTGCATTGAGTCGAGGAGCTAATCAAGCTATGTGGAGACATATTGTGGTAAGGATCAAATCATCAGTGAAAGTGACTTGAAGCAATGGACTGAACCCACATGTGTTGGAAAGATTCAAGTCACAAGATCAACATGTGTTTGCTCGAAGAGATGAGACAAAGATAATTGCAAACCTTATGAAGTAATATTGAGAAAAAGGATAATACATGCGATGGTGGAAACCCCCAATTATAAAAGGATGTGGTGGCCAACTCAAAGGTGTTTAAATTCTTTAATATTTTGAATTTGAGTTTAGAAAAAGTCGTACTATAAAGGGGGATACAATGCACAAGCTTTAATGTGCAACTAAGTGCTCATTTACCCACCAAATATCCTTAAAGCCTTAGCCAAGACAGCAAGTTTTACAATCCTATCTTTTGTGCTGCCTGTCAAGTGAGGCACTACCGCGCTGAGGCGAGGCACTGCCGTAGTTCAGGCGAGGCACTACCGCAGTGAGGCACTATCGCAGTTCAACCACGGCACTGTCACGACTTAACTGACCATTGGGAGCAGGGGTTATTTATACCTTCTCTTCTCTCCCACAACGGTCACCTGCTTTTTAGCACGGCCATTCTCTTCCTAGGTGCAACTAGAGCTCTCTCTCTTGCTCCTTCCTCTCCATTGGAAGGCTCCCAAGCTTCGCTTGATTTCTAATCAAATCCTTATGAGATTAAGCTTTCAAACTGCATTAGAGAGCAGCCCCAACTGATCTTCATCTCCTAGAGCACTTGGTTCGCGTTTAATGTAACACCCTCAGTGTTACACCCTAAATCATTTACTAAAACTTATCATGAGCATCATGTTTATGTGTTAATGCATGTGATAGGATGTGTAGATAAATTTCTTTTAACTTAAAATGACAAATAAAAATATTAAACGAAAGTTGATTCAATAGTTCAGGTATATCAAGTAGGGTTTAAAACTAATTTTTATTAAGCAAAAATACTATAAAACATGTGTGTGATACTTAAATAAAGTTTAAAGTACAAACTTTGTAGATGACAATGAAATATTTGCTGTCGAAAAATGATATTACTAGCTAATATTTCCACTAGGTTAGAAATCGCAAATTGAAATCAAATTCGGCTCAAAACTTAGAAAATTTCCAAGTCTGTCAACAGCTAGAGATTGCTATGTTTAGCAAATTATTTTGAGAGATTGGGTTAAGGGGTGGTGTAGTGTTATAGCTCGATTTGGTAGTCTCATGTGCCATCTTGAGCATGGTGAAGATGATTTGGCTCCTAGAGCAACCGTTTAGTTTTTATGGGGCTTTAAAAGTTGTGCACGTCATAGTCTCAGGATGGTTGGCGCCGTGCGTGCGGTCACCGCGCGGCCACCCCGTGCCACGTACATGGCCGTGGTCCTTCGCGGTCATCCCGATGCTGCCACGCTGGATCGGTCGGGTCGCCTAGGTTTGGCCGAGACCCGTCGCAGCGAGACGCTGGCCCCGTGCCCTACTGCTCAGCCTCGCGCTGCCGCCATTGGTGCCGCCACGGCCGCGCTGCGCTGCCGTCGCGTCCGCCCACTGCACTGCCGACCCGCCTGTCCGCTGTGCCCCTACGCCGCTGCCGGCCTAGTCAAGGCCACCACTGCCGCGCGCACGTGGCCGAGCCACCGTCGCCTTATCATTTAAGACACTACGGCCGTGTGGGCCACGTCGGTCGGATGCGCACACGCCTTGTCTGTAGCGCCTGCGCATGGGTGTCCTATGGTAGAACCGCATAAAATAACTCACTTCCGAAGGCGCTTGTCTTCCATTAGACACTAAACACCCCAAGAGTGAGCTAATTTAAACAGTTCTATCGAGCACACCCCATGGGAGAACCCAAAACCCATATTTTTCAACAGGATCATAAATGGGAGAATAAAGTTACAATATTTTAGCCATTTCTTACATCACTTTCTATGCAACATCAGAGTATAATATTTATTGTTTATAACAGCGAAATATAACCATGTTATTAGATGATAGGTTAAACATTAACATGATGGTCCGTTATATACATCATAACATGTTATAAGTTTTTCCATTGTAAAATATTTTGGGTGGAAGTTTCAAATAAACTCTATGCCCGCAACGTTAAGGAAATCCTCGTTGAGTCCACCAGGAGGTTTCCACACACAAGTGTCAGCTCCACATGTTCCTGTCACCTGCAACAGGGTAGAACAAACCCTAAGTACTCAATTGTACCTCGCAAGACTTACCCGTCAGGAGGAAAGAAAAGACTCCAAGGATATGCAAGGCTATCTGGCTTGTGGTTTTATTGCATCTGCAGGAAGCATTACTAAGCGTGCATCCTTATATTCCATTTCCTTAGCAATCATCATTAGTTCATTAACTAACCATTCTATGTAAGCACCTGTGCTACTTTCAAGCAGGTGGTAAGCAATCAGAACCATTTTACCATCTTTCATATTCTAGTTCTTACTACGGTGCTAGATCGTAGCCAAGCCGTACCGTATCACACGGCGATTCACGAACCAATGTACCCTAGGTAGGCACCCTAAAACACACGCCCACTTGTACCCCAAGCACAAGCAAGACCAATCCACCACTCTCCTGTCAAGGGGTCCAGGTCCCCGTCCAAATATGGACTCCAAGCCCCCACCACTGAGTCCCGGACTCAGTGTGGTGCTTAGACCTCTAATATCCTCGCCTCCAATTAGTCGGTCCGAAAAGAGCCAGAACCCATGACAAGAGAGCAACGAGCCTTCTCGCCCCCATAAGCAAGTATGTGCTCAGGATAATAAGTCTGTGACCTGACTAGAATGCAATGCAACGGATGGTCCTTAACCGACATAGGCGGAACAAGTGCAATCTGAGCCTCGCTCCAATAAGAAACCAAGTCTAGATCCAAAGTACCATTCCGCCCAATCTCCAATTATCATTCATATATATTCCATGTGATAGTAATATAATAATAACAATAATATCTTTCCTATCTCTCGTGAGTGACAGGCAATCACTCGACTT